GATCCGATCGGGGCTGCTGTTGGGCGGCGATCTCTCGCCCGATATTCGGCGTCGTTTCTTCCTGTGCATCGCGGCGTTCGCCGCGTTCGCCGCCTCCTCCAAACTCGACCTGGACGCGAGTTCGTGCTCGCTGTTCACGTCCGCTAGGCCGCGGATCTTCAGGCTCTCCGCGACCTTCAGCAACGGACCGATCTGCTCCTGCGACACGTTTATCTCGCCCTTGTACATGAACTCGACCGCGGCCTTCAGCTCCGGCCACTTGATGTCCTTCATGATCACGATAGGATGCTGGCACGGATTGTCGAAGAACAGCGCCTGAAAGTAGGGACTGCACGCGGACAACACCATCTTGTGCGCTTTCACGCTGTGTCCGTCGCACGCGAGGGTCACGTCGACGAAGCTCTCGCTCTGCAGCAGCTGATCGAACACGTTGGTAAGGTTCGTTTGATAGTTGTTCCACCTCAAACAAAATTGCTGGGGCGACCCAGCGCCGCTCTGTTGCGTCATGTTTTTCTCGGACTTATCCTCCTTATCGTTTCGTCTGTCGTTTTCGCGATTATTTTCTCCCTTTCGATCCCCTTTTCTTTCCTCTCCTTCCTCCGCCTCCTCCTCCTCCTCCTCCTCCTCTTCTTCTTCTTCCTCCTCCTCCCCCTCCACTTCTTCCTCCTCCTCCTCCTCCGCTTCCTCTTCTTTCACCCGGTACTCGTGTTCGCGTTTCCGTTTCTCCAGCTTTCTCGTTTCCGTCGCGTTTCTAGCGTTCTCCACCACCCCCGCCTCCTCCGCCACCGCCTCCTCCACCTCTTCCTCCACCGCCTCTTCCGCTCCCTCCTCCTCCTCCTCCTCCTCCCCCGCCGCCTCCTCCTCGCTTTTGGCGCGCTCCTTCACGCCTTCCTCGTCCGTTCCCGTTCTTAGCTCCGTTTTTCGATCGACCAAAATCTCGCGAACGCGTCGATCGCTCGACGACTCGCTCTACCGATCGGTCGCGAACCAATCAACGGCCAGACCGCATCTGGAACACACACGTACACAGCGACGCGCGAACCTCGAACCACGCAGCACCGACGACGCGTTTCTCCGCGCGTCTTCTCCTCCTTCTCCTCCTCCAGCACCGCCACCTTCCGCTCCTCGTGGCAACGCGCGTCGACCCGTTAAACGCGCGCGCCCTCGAGAATACCGTTTGTCCCGACCGCGTCCAGCCGGAGCATCCTTTTTTCCCGCTTTCGATGTTCGTTTGTCCGTCGACGTCCCTCTTTCGGCGACTCGCGCAGCGGCGCGAAATTCGATCGACCTCGTGGTCACCGAGACTCTTCTGTTCAACGTCGCGTTCGTGGATCGCGCGTTCCGGAACGCGACATCTCCTTCGGGAACTCGCGTGTCGTCCCGACGACCGAAACGGAGTGCGCGCGCGTGCGCGCGACTTTCGAAAACGAAGCGGGACGAGCGTGCGGGATTTCCCGCGCGCGCCACCACCACCGAAACTCGAACACGATCTATCCCGCGAACGTACGTCCTCTCTTGTTTCCCTCCCTGTCGCGCGTCTCAGTTTTCCTTCTCGTTCTCGTCGCGGACTTGCGTGTCCTTCCGAGAAACGTGGTTCGCCGCAGCGGCACCGATCGCGCGGTAT